ACAGACACGCAGACAGACAGAAGAGAGAGAGAGAGACTGACCTACGAATCCACTACCGCGGCTGAGGGGAGAGGGGGTTGGGGGTGGGGATTGCGGATTGGGGTTCCGGAACACCTTCCCCCCTTGATGAAAAAGGAAAAAGAAGTTCAAAAAAGTAGGTTTTTTTTTAGGGGGGGGGTGTTTGGTGTGTAAAAAAAAATAAAAATTGATTGATTGATTGTTTTTTTGATTCATTGAGTGATTGATTGATTTTTTTATTGATTGATTGATTGATTGAGTGGTGGGGGATGGGTCATCCCTCCCCTCCACCGGGCACACACACACGCACACACACACACACACACACACACACACACACACACACAAACTAGCGCACGTTTGTTTTTATTTTCCTACTCAATCAACCAATCACTGTCAATCAATCGATCAATGACAGTCAATCAATCAATCAATCAATCAGTATGTGTTTCTATCAAAAACGAAAAAAAAGAAGGGAAAAAAAATAGAAAACGGCTTTGGTTTTCCTTTTCTTTATTATTATTTTTTTTCTCCTTTTATATTTGCATATGTCGGGAAAAAAACAGAATGAAAGAAACATGTGCACCATGCTTATCCCACCAGCAATCCAAAATAAAAGAAGAACAAGAAAAAAAAATCCCCTTTTTTTTATGTTTCTTTTGATTTTAATACTTGTTTTTTCCGTTTTTTATTTTCTATAAATCTCAAAAAACAAATATGGGAATGCTAAAACCAATTTTTCTCCTTTTTTTTCGCTTATTTGTCTAGGAATGAAAATTATCGGGGTGTCTTGGCCACGCGGCCGCCCCCGGCGGTCATGGTCCCGGCCGCATGCCCTCAGCGGCTCCGCGGCCATGACCGAGGGTGATACATCACTGCAGGCAGACATGCACACAGACAGACGCGAGAGAGAGAGAGAGAGAGAGAGAGAGAGAGAGAGAGAGAGAGAGAGAGAGAGATGGACGGGCACACACTTATCCACTGCAGAACGAGCGCTCGTACACAAGCACACGCACCTTAAAGTACGAACGGAAGCCCGCACGCGACGAAGACGCGCGCATCAGAGGGCAAGCGCTATGTACGCCCGGCCACCCAACAAAGAGGCCCATGGAAATAATATTAGTACAAACTCCAGATCCCATCAAAAAAGGCACATGAAAATATGATTATTACAAACTTTGGATCTGGCTGAACGGGACTGCCTGCTTAGTTGAGTACGACATCATAGTCCAGAAATGAAGTCCCAGATCTGCAATCGCTAGAACGAATACAGATATCGCAGATCAGCAATAGCCATAAGGCCCATAACTAATAGAGATCCACTGCACAGCCATCCGTTGGATCTACCAAGCGAACACTAACAGAATGTAAGAATGTTTTCCACTGCTTTGCGCAGTCACGTTGCCGCGTCTAGAATGACCTCCATAAATGTCATTCCCATCAGCCCATCGCACAGTCCTCTTAACTTACAAGTGGGAACAACAATGCTGATACTCGTTGCACACACCCAAACGTTTACATCAGCCGCGCTTAAACGAAAGATAAATGACATGTTGTTCAGTCCAGTTAAGGCTCACTAAAACCACTGGGACATCCGTCAAATTTGGGACGATACAGAGAAGATTAGCATGGCCCCTACGCAAGGATGACACGCATAAATCGAGAAATGGTCCAAATTTTATATATATATAAAAAAAATAAAATAAAAAAAGACCCACTATGTAAAGACTCACTAAAGATATCAGTGGCTCGTCGCCTGAAGTCCGCGATCTAAAAGAACTCGCTAGCAAATTAGCGACCACTATAAGGTGACAAGTCCATCTCTCCCAGTCCCATGTTCCCGCCCCTTTCACCCGCAAATTAGCGACCACTAAGAGGTAATTTCCCGCCAAATCTACGCCTTGCATACAGTTTGCCGGCTGTTCTCCGCTGCGTCCTCCACTCCAAATCCCATTTTCCCGCCTTCTCTGCCCCTTAATCCAGTTATACAACCCGCGAAGAGTGAGTGGGAGGTAATTTCCCGCCGAATCTACGCCTTGCATACAGTTTGCCGGGTGTCCTCCGCTGCCCCCTTCACTCCAAATCCTATTTTCCCGCCTTCTGTACCCCTTAATCCAGTTATTCAACCCGCGAAGAGTGAGTGGGAGGTAGCTTCATGGTCTTATTCCCAATAATCCACTACCCGAGACACTATCACCGCCTGAAAAGACTGTACATGCCGAACATCTTCGTCCTGCAAATTCTGTACTCCCCTACCTTTGGTCTAAGCACTGGGATGACTCGCGCCATGGCATCTAGTCAGAAAAAAAAACACGTCAGGAAGATAGCTCTTCAAGAGCGGAGACTGCCTATTGGAGATGTACCAAACACAGAATTTCTTTGACATCCGGATGCAGTCACAGAGGACGATTAAGAGACAGAAATTCTTCTACAGACAGACCATTAATGTTGGCTTGGCCTACATGTGTCTACCTTATCTTCGTCCCCGCTTCCTCGAATGATTAACTGGATACACGTTATAGTACGGCTACAGGAGGTCTTTTGGCTGGCCCATACGCCCTAATGATGGAATTACCTTGAATACTAAAAATATCTCTGCCGTTCGGACAGAAGACACTTCGAGGGGGATCATACTCCACTGTGAATCCAGCGGTGTGAGGAATATGACGGAGATGAAACGATCGGTGAAAAAGACAGTAGCGACGATGATGGATTTGCCAAGCATACTCTACAGTTTTCTGCCCTTTGGACAGAACAGACCTTGAGGACGATCATACTCGAGGCAGATAAAACGCTCCTTCCAGTATTATCTCGAAGCGCCCGCCGTCGGATAGCAAGACGGATAGCAAGAAACGGTGTGGCGTGTCGCACCCGCCCACCCACCCACCCACACACACCCACACACCCACCCACACCCACACACCCACACACACGCACACGCACACAGCGCGCCACTAAACGAGGTAAAGCGCCCATGGGGCCGGGTGGTGGTGGGCGTCGATGCGGGGGATTATCTCCAAGCGTGCTGTGAAAAGGCGTAAGCGTAAGGGATGGCAGTAGCAAGGAGGACAACTCTCTCTCTCTCTCTCTCTCTCTCTCTCTCTCTCTCTCTCTCTCTCTCTCTCTCTCACACACACACACACACACACACACACACNCTCTCTCTCTCTCACACACACACACACACACACACACACACGCACACACACACACACACACACACACACACACACACACACACACACACACACACGCACACACACAGAGCGTTCTCTCTCTGCACCAGGGAATTCTCCAATCCCGTCTCCTACCCTGCCTCCTACCCTGCCCGTTACAAGCTTTTTCAACACTGTTGTCTATGTCCATCTCCTTGTGCTGAAGCAGCTTTACAGGCCAAGCTGCTTCAGGTCAAGGAAAAGTTTGTGATATTCATTGACGGTCTGGACACGACTCTCAAGGCGGAGCGACTCGAGAACTTCATTAATTCTGTTCATTGCCGACTCTCGCGGAGGCGGAGTGCTTCCCCTCATCCTCCACGCCGCTTGTTGTAAACGGCGCCGAGCATTGAACGCCGCCCTGATCGCCGCATCGTCAACATCCGCCGACGGCGGAGGACGACGAAACATGCTGTGAGCGTTCTCCTTGTCGAACGTGCCCACGAAGGATGCCATCGCTGTCTTTCCCGGCTTGCTATGATTTCCAGTTGCCTCAGCCGTAACCTCAACGATGCCGTCCCGATCCACTGAGATGATGACACGTGTCACCGGCGTGCCGTCCGCAAGCGATGGCGTGAAACCCGTTAGCTTGAGCTCGCCCACGTGTCGATTATGGCTACACAACGCGTGCTCGCCTTCGTATATCGTGAAGCGCATGCTCGTCTGGTAGTCGTGAGACAACAAGAACATCTTCTCCGCTTTGGCGGGAAGAGGCGTGTTCTTGGGTATCAAAACGCCTAGCTCGTCCGACGCGAGTTCGACACCTATGCCGAACGGTGTCACGTCGATGACGTGCATCGGCATCTCCGGGAGCTCCAGCTTGCTTTGAGGGATGCGCTGACCGAGGATCGATGCGTATACCGCCGCCCCATATGCCACAACTTCGTCGGGATGCACAGTCATCACGGGGGCTTTTCCAAAAAAACGCGCCAGCAGCTCCCTCACCTTGGGAATCCGAGTCGATCCTCCCGCTAAGACAACCTCAGCGATATCCGTCTTCCTCATGTTGGCGTTATCGAGTGCCTTCTCGACAACATCGATACACTTGGCAAAGAGATCTTCGTTCAGCTGCTCGAACGTAACCCTCTCTAAGCGCATGCTGAGCTCTCCGCTGGAGCGCCAAAAACAGATGTCCGTATCTTCGTACGCCGAAAGCTGATGCTTCCTGTCTGCTGCCACGGATTTGAGATTCGCAAGCGCCCTCTTGTCCTGAAGGATATCGTGCTGGTTCTTCTCCTTAAACGCCTTCGCTACATGCTGTATTATCCTCTCGTCGAAATCGGCACCTCCTAGGTCCTGATCCCCCTCTACCGTATTCACTTGGCAGTCATACCAGTTGTCCTCTCTACGCTGCATCGTCATAATAGACACATCGAGGGTTCCCCCGCCCAGATCGAAGACCATGATCTTCTTCCCGTCGCAACGTGAACCCAATTTTCGTTGATGCCAGTACGCCATAGCCGCCGCCGTCGGTTCGCTCACCAGTCGCAGGACATGGAGACCGGCGCGATGCCCTGCCGCCCTCGTCGCTTGCCGCTGACTGTCGTTGAAATAGGCAGGAACCGTGATGACCGCATCCTTGATTTCCACGCCGCCGCCAACGTAATCCTGGGCAATCCGCTTCATCTCCTCCAGCAAGATGGCAGACACCTCCTCGGGCTCGACCACCCGACCAATGGGAAGCTGGATGAGTACTCCACTGCGCGGACCCGAGACTAGCGTGAACGGCCACATCTGGCTCTTCTCCTGAACACGTGGGTCCAGGAAGGACCGCCCCATCAGCCGCTTAATCTCGTACACGCAGTCCTCCGGTTTGCTGAACCCGTGCTGCCTCGCAGCTACCCCGACAAGAACTCCCGTTGAAGTGAAGGCAACGTACGATGGAACGGTTCGCTGACCTTGACTGGACGGAACGAGCTCGACGCCATTCTTCGTGCAGACTGCTACAGCGCAGAACGAGGTCCCCAGATCAATACCCAGGACTGGGCCACTTTTCCTCCCCTCTCCTCTCTGCTTGCTCTCTTCCATAGCTCCTACCAACACAGGAGCCTCATCTGAGCTAGCCGGAGCTGCCGGGCATGCCGGCGCCTCTCTCTCTCTCTCTCTCTCTCTCTCTCTCTCNCTCTCTCTCTCTCTCTCTCTCTCTCTCTCTCTCTCAGATGATGTTTGTGCGAGCGTCCGTACGAGGGGAAAGATCTCTCTCTCTCTCTCTCTCTCTCTCTCTCTCTCTCTCTCTCTCTCTCTTTCTCTCTCTCTCAAAGATCTCTCTCTCTCTCTCTCTCTCTCTCTCTCTCTCTCTCTGTGACACACACACACACACACACACACACACACACACAGAGATGATGTTTCTGCGCGTCCGTACAAAGTGTGTGCGTGTCTCTATATGCCTGCCTGTGGAAGGGATAGGCAGACAGCATGTATGTGTGTGTGTTTGAGCATATTGAAGTGAGCGTGAGACTGTGTGTGCATGCGTGTGTGCCCTTACATCTGTGCCTGAGCGATCTAGAGTAAGTGTTCAAGAGCCGACGGAAGCTCGAAAACTACCGTCGCGCTGCACAGCACGGAGAGCTAGCATATCATAGCAGCTCCTCTCACCCACAACAGCGCGAGCCCGTTTGCCGAGGAGAGAAATACGCACGCGCGCAAAGACACCCTGCTTGTGTGGAAGGCGGCATCGCTGAGCGGTGCAGCTTTTTCTTTCTTTTCCCCGTATATTTCTTGGGGACTGTGTGATTGAGAGAAGAATATAGCTTTTAAAAAAAGAAAAAGAAAAAAAAGAAAAAACAAAAGAGAGAAAGGATTGGGAAAAAGAGAAGAAAAAAAGAAAGAAAGAAAAAAAAAAGAAGGAAAAAAAAGAGAAAAAAAGAAAAAAAAGGTTTGACCGACCCCATATCGCCCCATGTCAGTGAATGGGACGATCGTTTACCTATCACTAAGCAAGCGTGACCTTGAATCCTACTGGACTGGAATCAGTTGCTATTCTCTCGATGCGCAGTCCGTTTTCAATCGGACCTTTGGATAGTCATTGGGAGACCGATGGGCCTCGCCCCACCGCACAGCATTCGAAACCTACCGGGACAAAAGAATACCAATCTGCCAGTATCTGGACCACCGTCCTAATACATTCCAAACGTTTGATTTCTCTCAATGTTTCCGGTCCAAATCATTGCCCACATACATGTGGAATGTTGCAGATGGCAGATATGGTGATGGGGAGCTGAGACAAGCACGTGGTAGGAAGCACCTCAACAGCGAAATGAGGCACAGAGATTGGTCCCGTTGGCATGGTCCCTGATGCTACCGGCTGTCCTCTGGCTGGTATCTCCCAACTGCAGGCCGGAAGCAGCCCCCGCATGATCTCTCTTCAACACGGTTCCGGCTTCGCAAGGCTGCTACGGGGTTCCTGTGTGACTATGGGCCTCGCCACACCACTCTCGAAATGTGAAAAAGACAAAAATGTGGCGAGTGCATCTGGCCATGTTCGAGCCGGAAGTTTATTCTCATTCTGCACATTTCGAGAGCGGTGTGGCGATGCCCTATAATTAGTAGTGGTAGTAGGTAGTGTGAGGTGAACTTGAGAAAAGAATGTAGCTCAGTTTTTGAAAAAGTGTACAATACTTCTCAAGAAAAAAAAAAAAGAAAAAAAAAAAGAGTGTACAAAAAAGGGAAAAAAGGGCAAATTGCAGACATACCGGTTTGGAGTAGCATAGTAGCAAATATACAGGTTTACCTGTGTAAATACTAAATACCCTTTTAGAACAGTTTCTACGCAGTCCCACCTACGCAGAGGACAGGCGCTCAGTCCCACCTACGCATTTTCGTTGTAGGAGGCTAGTACCACGAAGAGAATGGGGGGCTCCTGACGACCATGGATTGACACGATGGATGGTCCCTAGACGCCCGCCAGTCGCTTCCTGGTAGCTTCCTATAACGGAAAGGCGCAGGTGGGACGGGGTCGGCTTTGGAGTGCTTGCCTCAGGCCGGGTGGACGGGTCCTCTGTTACAAAAGAAGGTACCACCCAATAAATCTTGGGAAAAGTCATAAAACCTCCCTTCGTATCCAATTTCCCCCCAAACCGCGGAAAAAAGGTGCCGCAGGCCCCAAAATCACTTTCTGCGTCATTTTTGCACCCCGCAAAACACTTTCCCGCCATTTTTACACAGCAGCCGCCGGCCTTTATCGGCCCAGCCATGGTAAAAAAATGACAACAGAAGTGATTGTGGACCTGCGGCACTTTTTTTCCCGTTTGGGGGGAAATGGATACAAAGGTTTCGTCACGGGGAGGTTTAATGACTTTTCCCATAAATCTTTGTCAGAACTTGTCAAAAAGGGTATAGATTTAATGACTTTTCCCATAAATCTTTGTCAAAACTTGTCAAAAAGGGTATTTGTGCTACTTAGGGCCCAGTTGCACAACTACCTTCTTCCCCCCAACATAAAGCATATGCTTTGTAAGCCAATACAATGCATAGCGTACGTTCTATTCGGATACAACACGTACACGTTCTACGTACGTCTTCTATTCGAATAGCCCTTAATTTCAAATATAACGCATATGTGTTCTATTCGAAAGTAGTATGGTTCCACTTTTGAACACCGTGTCGTGGCTGTAGTGGTTAAGATACCTGGCTCTTGGGCCGAGGAAGCCCGTTCGAATCCGTGCTTGCAAGGTGGAGGACGTCGGCCTCATGCAGGGATGGGTAGCACCATCCTATAACCTCAGCTGTTGGGGGAGCTAGATGTGCAGATTCACTTAGCTGCCTCCTCAGGCAGAGTCCTGTGCTGTCTTCCGTTCGGAGTGTTAGATGTGCGGAAAGAGGCCCAGAAAGACAGCAAGATAGGGTGCGCCAAAGATTTTTGGGAATTGAGTGTAGGGACACAGACGAAACTGAAATCCCCCGTGTTGGTCCGATGAAGCAAGTCGATCGTTTTCTGCGTGTCGCAGAACACGCACAAACAAAGCGGGAGGAGGGAAAATCCGAATTCAATCCAAAAATATTGTCGCGCTTCCCACTGGGCTACGGTCCATCGTTTAGAACGGAAGGGCTTTGGCACGCTTCGCGTGTCTCGTTTTCGTATCAAATCCCGTCGTCGTTCGCGGGTTAGTTCCGAGTCCGACGTGGACGGTCTCAGCCGCGTGGCTCTTTCCTTGTGCTCGTCTTCGCTCCATATCCGGTAGTGAAAGCCTTTTGATTCGTAGCGATCAATACGTTGGCATTCGGTGCACAGAGTGCGCGGCCAGTGGGGTTCTACTACCGTCCACGGAATGACGATCAACTCGTTAAATGGAAACAATACCGAGTAAGTTGGGAAGTGCGTATCGATAATAACAAACCTGTCTTCTACGAACCCAGAACAGCGGTTAGCCGGAGGGATGTAATATTGCCCGCCGATTTGTGCAACGGCTTCTCGCACGTCTCACTCGCATACACGTGTCCTTTTCTCACTGTAAGGAGAAGGTCGCGTTGGGATGGGAGATGCGGGAGGCTGGTGCCCAATCGAAGGGTACTTGTCAGTCAATCACAAAATATCATGAGACGTCATTAAGAACAAAAGCGATTCGTGCGTCCCCCAATAAATCTTTTTGATGCAAGAGAGAGTAAGCGCACATCAACTTGATCACACATAATGGCACGTGCAGTGCAAACAGAGCTATAGATCTAAACACTCTTGCATTCTCGAGCAAAATCCCGGCAATAAATATCTAATCGACACAAAGGAGTTACGCATTTCCATACATACATCCACTGTGGAAGGTGCAAAAAATGAGACATGCACTGGAAAAGATGAATCGTCTACTCAGTACACACGCATCCACTGTTCACAAGACAAAAGACGGGGTCCTTGTGTAGGAGGATTACCCGGGAAACTAATGGAAGAGTTCCAGAAAAAGTTCTTTCACTCACGGGAGGCGCAACGATTCATTCCTTTTCAGGAGGGAAAAGAAAAGAGAGACAATCATCGAGGCACATCATTATTCAAGAGTAGAGAAGAAAAGGGGAAGATGGGGGAGAACAGTCGAAAGAGGTGATGCCCAGATCTGGAAGAGAGACATTCGGCATGACCGCCGTACATTCACACCAAAGATAAAGATCCACAACAACAAAGGCGCATTCGCCATTAATTCCAATATGGCCCCTGGCCAAATACTCACTAAACTCCAATCATCGACCCTCATACCCGCACCGATGATCCCGGCCGTCGCATGCTAACTTCCACCACTACGATCGTCACCCCGCTTTGACGCTGTCGTAAACTCAACACGGTTCGCCCTGATCCCACAGTCCGTCGTGGCGATCAAGCGCGCAACCGGCCAGCCTATCGCCTGCCCGACTGAACTTTCCGACTCGCATCAACACAGTCTGCCTAACCACTGCTTCTCGGAAGCTGGCTTAGGAGTCGAGAACATAAGAGAGATTTGCGGGTGCGCTTGCGGGTTTTATAGTTGCGAGAAAGGAGATAGAAGGCGGAGAGGACGACGGGAGGGCGGGGGTGTGGGAGGAGAAGGAGGAGAAGACTTTGAGGCGAGTGCTCCGCGAACGCCATGTTGATCCCCCGGAACTCAAGGTTCAACCAATCAGATTCGTCGTGCGATAGGTAAGTCCTATCGATCCACACAGCTGATTGGTGAGCGGGAGTCATTGATGGATCGACTGGGCGTCATACACCAGACTCAGAGGGTGAGAAGAGAAAAAGGCGCGGGAGGCGGCGCAAGACGGGTCCAAGATTCAAACGATCAAGAAAGGAAAATGGGCGCGCAAAAAGCAAGACGAGGGAGGGAGGGAGAGAAAGAAAAACAGTTACGAGGAGAGAAGAAGAGGAGGGAGAAGGAAAGAGAGCGTGGGAGGGAGCGATGCAGGAAACAGAGGGGAGGAAGCTTTTGCATGCATGGCACCGTCAACAAAAAAAAGAAAAAAGACACCGAAACAGTTACAGCTTGCTTCAATCCTAATTCAAAATTGAAATCATCATATCCGTGCGCGAAAGAGCGACGTGGGAAAGGGAAATCCTACACCTATTCGTTTCCAGATGAAATTCCAGAAGTTTTTCCCGACGCGGCCAAGAACATTCACACATTCAAAATGAACTCGTCGAAGTTCCGCTTGTTCCAGAATTCCCAACTGTCGAGCCCAATTCCCAATGCGCTCACTAAGGCACACGTAAATTCCCATGTATTTCCCGACTTTGCAAAAAGAAAAACAGAACCCAGCAGTCGAAGAAGTTCTCAAAAAAAAAGAAAGGAAAATGCGACACCCGAAAATAAGAAATCGAAACGGGGTTTTCCTGGGGTTGGTATGATACAAGCAAAAGAAACGGTACGAAAGATGGCACGGGGTCGGGAAGTAGTTCGTCACATATGTGACGTGCAGGGGGTTCCAAAATTTTGCGATCTCCTGATTGCACGTCATGGCGAAAGAAAGAGGGAAGGACAGAATGATGCATGAGGAACCAAGCGTATCAACAGAGCTAAAGAAGTACAAGGAACGATAA